GCTCGGCCCCGCCCCCGCGCGGCAGGCCCCGCCCCGCGCCCGCGGCCCCGCCCGGAGCCGGCTGGGGTCGCCGCTCCAGATCAAATGTGACTTCCCGACAAGCAGCGAGCGGTTTTTTCGGTCCAAGTCTGTCCCATACCTGAAATGCGAATTTAACGGGACAGTCTCAGACTTAATCTCTTATCCGGAGTCCAGGTAAGGCGCGCCTTCTGTTTTACCTGGCCAGCCCACCTGGGGCTCCAGAGAGTCTGCAGCCCTGACCTTGACTTTCTAACAGGAGATTTCACTCTGAGGAAAGGTAGCAAGACATCCACGCAAAGCCGGATGTGTTAGACGTTTGAGTCGACTTCGGCTGCGAGATTCATTCATTTTTAAAATGCAAACCTAGGAAAGGAAGTTCCATGTGACTTTTTTGCTTAATTGAATATGATACCTGGTGTTTTAGTTGCCATTCCTAATTTTTATACACATCGACATTTTCTCAGAACTGTGTGACCGGAACAAAAAGAACGGGAATGGATGGGAGCAACCTGAGCCTGGGACGGCTCTCCATTGGCCTGAAGCTCAGGTTCTCAGGTTCCAGACGGCCCGCGCTCCCAGGAGGTGGTTACCCCCTTTCCTTCCCTCCTTCACGCACGTTTCCTGGCTCCCGCTCTGTGCCAAGCCCTGGAGACAAAGCAAGGACAAAACCAAGCCCCTGGTGCCCTCAGGTCTGCACCTGGGGGACAGAGCTGAAACACGTAAACAGTAAGGTGGCCAATACACCTACCTGCAAAAGCCACAGAGCAGGGCCGGGCGCAAGTGGTGAGGAGGGGCTGTTGCACACCAGAGGGTCTGGAGGTCTCTCGGGGAAGGTGACCGGTGGGTGGAGAAGAGGTGGCCCGGGCAGAGGAACGCCACGTGCAAAGGCCCTGAGGCTGAAGGGTGCTGAGTGCTGAAGGAACAGCAGGAGCCCAGTCTGGCAGAGGGAGCCGAGAGAGGGAGCCAGACCCGGGGCCTCCCCAGCCAGGCCACAGAGAATGTGGTGGTGGCCGTGGAGGATTTGTGCAGGGATGCAGCTCTGCCATGCGGAGCGGCAGGAGGGTGTCAGGAAACCCGTGAGACATCCAGCCCTCCAGGAGCTGGTGAGAGTCTGGCACTGACTCTAGGTGTGCTCTGAAGACAGAGCCAGGGTGGAAGCAGAGGGGGTCCTGTCACCTGCAGTTGGTTGCGGCTGAGATGAAAGGCTGTAGGGGAGGGGGTGGGAGAGCAATCTGAGTGACCTCTTCCACACCTAAGGAAGGTGTCAGGTGGGAGGTTGGAAGTGGGAGTCTGGAGCCCAGAGGGTGTGTTGGGGCTGGTCAAGGTCCCCGGGGAGGCCAGAGGGCAGGGCCACACCTGTGCCTGGGCCTCCTCAGGGAGCAGCGGTGAGGTGGAGGGGAACGAGAGCGTGCGGAGACCCAGGGGCGGAGAAGAGAGTGGATGGGAGCGTTCCGATCAGGCTAAGACTGGGATTGAGAGCCCATGCTGGGCTTTGTGCCAGACTGCAGCGGTCTGAGCGAATGCGGGGGACAAAGCGGAAGCGTTTTCAGATAGAACGGAGGGGGAAAGAAGAGACAGTGCAGAGTTTCGCTGAGAAGGGGAGCAAAGAAATGAGGCAGGGCAGTAGGCCCAGGGCGGGTGGGAGGCGTCGCCACAGCGTGGAAGACTCTGAGAGCAGAGTTGGGGGGTCCTGGGAGCCTGTCGCGCGTTCGTGGAAGCAGGATGGAGAGCGGGACGGTGGCATGTTTGGCCGTGGGAAGGCCCGAGCATCTCTCTGGATTCCTTCTACGTCCTCAGCGAGATAGGACACAAGGCCGTCAGCCGAGGGTCGGGATTGGGAGGGACACCTGCCCTGTGTCCCTTGCTCCAGGACTGGCCTGCCAGGGGAGGCGTCAGGCTGTGGGAGTAGAGTCAACCGAAGATAAGAGGCAGGGAGTTGAGGGGACGCAAGGAGGAAGCGGGGAAAACCAAATCCAGCCTGCTGGGCAGGACACTAGGCGGGAAGGGAGCTGCACCTGCCCAGCTCAACCTCCCACGAGTCATCATCTCTTTCCACAGTGGGGGCTGCACTGGCCTCCTAGGGCACCCAGCCTCTGAGGGGTCTGTGCTGGGGGCCCCTGGGAGCCCCCCAGTTTCCGTGCGGTGGAGTCCAGGCTCCCCTCCAGCCTCACATGCCCCCGACCCCCAAACCACGGACCACAGGAAGATCGCTGGCCTCGGCTTGCGGGCATGGCCACAGAGTCACGTAAGGATTGTTGTGCAGACTGCCCAGAGTCTGGCTGTCACGTTAGCAAAGACGGCCGAGGCGGGGCTGTCAGGAGGGGTTGTGGTGAGGGCCCTCTTGTGGGCCGCAGACGGCTGCCTTCTTGTGTTCGCACAGGCAGGGCCAGGGGAGAGCTCTTGGGGTCTTCTTAGAAGGGCACTAATCCCACCTCGAGGGCCCCAGCCCATGACCTCACCTAACCCCTATCACCTCCCAAAGGCCCCACGTTCTAGCGCCATCCCACTGAGGGTTAGGGCTTCAGCATCTGAATTCTGGGGGACACAATTCAGTCCACAGCAAACATCCAAAAGCCACTTGGAGGGACCGTGCGGGGGAAGAGGCAGTGTCCCTCCCACCTGGGCTCAGGTCCTTCCGGCATTCATAGCTCTTCCTTAAGGGCGGGCATGTTCCCTGACACGGTGCTCAGAGAGTTGGAGGGCGGGTTCCCGGACCCCTGCACTTCGGGTGGGTGTGCCGTGCTGGCCCCGCTCTCACGGCCCCCCTTGGCCACTGACTGGGTGGCCGGTCACCTGCTCTGGTCCCAGGGGGTCCCGTGGGATCCCCTCCACTCATGAGGGCTCATCAAGGGAGGGAAGGGACCACAGCAAGGTCGTCCCACTCCGTCCCTGCTCTCTGGCAACATGACCTGCCCCCACCGTCTAGGGAGGGAAGGCTGGCATTCCAGCTGGAGGGGCACGTTCAGCATGTTGGGGTGACACCTCACCCCAAACCTGCTCTGTGAAATTGAGCCACCCACGGACCGAGCTCAGCCCAGCACCGAGAGTCTGCACCATGCAAACAACGCCAGTTTCTCAAATCCAGCGTCTCCCTGCTGCAGGGCGTGTGGTCACTGTCACACAAACTGCTCGGGAAAATCGCGCAACTGTCGTAAAATGCAGCCCAAGGTCAGAAATGTCCACACGAGAGCAGCAGGGAGGGGAGAGGTGGTGATTTTATCTCAGAGTCCAGGACCTGAGGAGTGGTACAGACTGAGCCGCGCCCTGTGACCCCACCCTCGTGACCTTGTTAAATCTGCCCCAGCGCCTGCACTGCCTCGGGGCCAAGGCGGGATGCGTGCTGCGAGGAAGTAAGCACAGGTGGGATCGCTGTTGGACGTGCGGTGGAGACACACTCTGATTTCACAGAGATTAAAATGTGGGAAAGATCCCATCTCAGAGCTGAGGAAATAAGAGACTATCCTTCCCGTTTCACAGAGTAGGAAACTGAGGCAGACCCGTGTGGGTGGTTAAGGACACATGGCATGTATGTGACCAAGCGGGTCTCAAACCCACGTGACCCCAATACCAGAAGGGCCGGTTCTGATGCTTGTGTCAGGGACAAAGGCAGAAGACCAGCTCTGAGCCTCCTCCCTCTCGGCATTCAGTTGGCGCCTGATGATGCCAGCTCGTGCCCTGGCGGGCGAACGTGAGCCCTGGAAGGCAGGGCTGGGCTGGTCCCTTCTCCAGGCCCACCTGGGTGGAGCAGGTTCTGCACGGGGCCAGTGAGGATGAGGCCAGGCAGGCTTCAACTGCACCAGCTCCAGGACGCGCCCGCCCAGCACGCCTGCCCTCCGTAAGCGGGAGCTTGGCATTTAGGGCTCACCTGCTTATGCCCAGCACCCATCCCTTGGAAAATTTATGAGGTGGAATTAGCACACCTGCGCTGGCACCCCTGCACACGAGCTACGTGCCAGGGATCGTGCCGGTGGGCTCCATCTCCTGTCCTCACAGTGACACGTGAAGGGCACGGTGGCCCCCCTCCAGTGACTGGGATGTGGAGGCACGTCTGGGGACAGGGTCCCTGCCACACCCCTGGTAAAAAGCAGGGTGGGGCCCAGGACACAGGCAGCCTCAGGTTGGCACTTAGCTTCCCTGATGCCCAGACTGTGTTGTGCTACAACCTGGGTGGACTCAGCTCGAAGGAAAAGCCCCCTCCGGGTGAGTGGCAGGCGAGGGGTGGGTGGCAGGAAGCTGTGGGCCGGGGGCCTTGTCCTTGTCCCCAGCTTTGACGGCTGCCACAGGGTGAGTGGTCAGGACAGGGACCACAGGAGCTGCCATGAGACCTGAGGACGGTCCTTCAAGGATCCCAGAGCTGCCTGCAGTGGCGGGGAAGCACTGACTTCCGAGCCTGGCTTTGTTTTGGGCAGGAACTGGCCAGGCTCTTCCCCGGGACAGGAGACCCCAACCCGGCAGGGACCCGGCTCCCCCTGGAAGGCGAGTGGGCTCCCTCGGCTCCCAGCCCATGGGAACCGACACCCTGGGTGCTGGGAGGCCCCGTCGGAGCGGACGCCATGCCAAGGTGCTCCCTGGGAGTGTGTGCAGCAGTCACCCTGTCATAGCCGGCGTTGGTGGCCTCGGTGCGTGTTTTATGAGTGTGGCCATTACGGCCTCGCAGGGTGGGGAGTCAGAAGGACTCGTAAAGTTCGTCTGATGATTTCGGTTTGGGCGGCAGAAGGCACATGCGTGGGCATTTGATGCAGGAGGGACCGTTACTCGGGGAAGCTGAAAGAGACAGAT